TCCTAATTATCTAATTAAATATACATTTTTAAATAAAACAATGACACTTTACTTAAAATGACGTCTATTTAATATGGCAATAAATTAAAAATATGACATTTAAACCACAAAAATGACACTAAGCACAATATGCCCCTTATTTATTCTATATAAACACAGTTATCTGGAATAGTTGAGTAAAATATCGGCACTTTACAAAATATGCCAATAACGAAATCATAATTTGTTGTATTTTTACTATCAAGTAATTAAAAAAACGACATTATACAAAATATGTCACTTTTTCACTCATCTCAGCTAAGACTCGTTGCGGCGGCTGGACCTTTACTGGTTTAGTGTCGGTTTATCGGTCACGACCCATGCTCGCGACAACAAAGTAAGAAGTGACATTAGCGACGTCTACAGAAAACCGAGCGAGCTATTACAACGGAGATCTTTGCAACAGACGTAGTTTTGCTCGTAGATTTTAGATGTCGCTGTAACTAAAAACCACCGAATTTTGTATAATGCCACTTTTGATTTCAATGTGCGATATGTAGTAGAATAGCATTACTATATTAAATTAAAAGTACATTCTTTCTTGTGTATACATGTGACTAAAACATGTTAATACACTATATTAATAATGGGTTGAATACAATTTCCTTTTTTAAATTATTTTGAATTAAGGATAATGCATGTAATGGATTATTATAAATTCCTCCAAACAAGTAAACCATGCTGAAAAAGAGATTCAACTAAAGATTTATATATCAGAATCAGTAGTTTTTCTCTTAACTTCAATATATTTAAGGAACATCTGATTACATTACTGGATTATATAATAGAATATAAAAATATTAAAACATGATTCCATTAAATACATCAAATAGATTTGTAAATAAAATGTTTTGATTATGACTTTAATTTAATACAAAACGTAAAATGTTTGATGTAAAATCCAATTATTCTGTTACTTTATCAAATTATATTATGAATTATCCAGCTGGTATATTTATTTAATATTTCGTTAACTATTAACTTTATTAACGGTATTATATAACAAAATTCAGAATTATTGATGTTTTTATCTATTTTTCTTTCATTGCCTGGAGTAATTGCGTTAAATCAGAATTATGCAGTTGATTTGTAAAATGCGATTATCTCGAAAACTGTTGAGTTTTGAAGTTATTAACAAGAATACCTTTTCGTTGTTAAAATAATATATCATTAATATTTTTTATCAAAAATACCGGTAACTTAAGGAACAATCAAGTTAAGTGCAAATGTATGCCACGCATGTCGCATATGTGGCGCCCTCTATTGGCTATATCAAAGTATGCATTAAATTATAATTTCTGATAAATTATAATAGTACTCAGTTATAAATTTTTATACATAAATGTGTACAAACATAAAAGTTATAGCGAAAAATAAAATTTTAAATTTCCACTTTAACACACTGTATCTTTTTTAAATATCAACATTTTGTTAAAGCAAGTTGACTTTAATCGTAATATTTTAAAGCGTAGAATCTGCGGTTTTTTTTGTACAATTAATTAAGGACCACCCTGTATATTTTTCTATATTTTTTTTTCAATTCATCTATTTTTTGTACATTATATATTCGTTTGTATGTATATACTGTAAATAGAACTATTATTACTGTACATTTTTAACGATATCCGATTAGGAAGAGCAAAAACTTTTAAACACGCTAGTTTTTTGCTGACAGTCCAAAGCATGTAAAAAATGTGAAGGAAAGTACCTTTCTGAATAGATCCATATACTACAATTATTCACGTAGAACAAAAAACTATACTTTCTTCATGTTAAAAATTGTTCAATTATCAAGTATATTCACTTGAACAACCTGAAAATACCATATGAAATAATTTAATAAATTTTTATAATCGTGCATTACAATGAAATATATTAAATAACAAACTTTCTGAAGTGCGACCCTGTGTGTAATTCAGTAGTTTATTGAGAGACTCTTGTATACACAATAGGATCAACTCCGGTAACCATTAAGCACTCAACTATTTTTCGTGAAACAAACTATACGTTCCGTTATGTACGTTTATTTATAAATAAGAGTATGATATGTCGATGTACTTAAATGTAAAATACGTAAACGTGTAAAATACTCAACACAAATTTGTATATTCTTTTTATTTCAGAAGGATAATCAATTATTTAGTCTATCAATAGAAAGATTATAGCAACTGCAGATGCTTATTATTTGGTCTGTATGTACATAATATCTTTTAAAAATCTGCCAAAGCATATTTATTTGGAAAAAGTTATACATCGAGTCATGTAGTTAATGAATTGTTAATTGTTACAAATACATTCTTCCTGAAATTGATTCTACCACAGAATACACCACCTACAATGTAATGTGGGTGACGAAACGCAATTATCAATATTCGAAGTTTCTGAGAACATTTTAATTCTCTTGAGTGTCAAATAACCGGGGAAGTCTACGTAGCGTAGCGGAATTAATCGGGAGTTTTGTAACTGTCTAATGTAACGTATCTCTCTATGCGTAAAGAACTAACGTATCGAAGAAAATCCTGACACGTCCTTCACGTCACAGCATTTCACTTCACGTTCACTTCTGTTAACGATGTTTCTAATCGGAATATTCCAGATATATGTAAGAGAGATATATCACTGCCCAAGACCTATTTAGCCAGATAATCAGTGGCGCACCCAGGGGGCGGTTTTGGGGGTAAAAACCACCCAGGACCCTATTCCGACACTGTTATTTAAAAATTTTAAGGACTTAAAATGGTGGAAGTAGCATAAAAAAAATTTGTGTCCAACCAAACCCCCCCAAGAACAATTCTAGGTGCGCTACTGCAGACAATATAGGTTAAATACGTAAAAACAATCTCCTACACTTCCTTTAATTCCTTAAATTCATGACAATTTCCTAACCGTTCCTTCATTATAGGGAATGATTTATTTTAAATATTAACGAATTAAATATCGGTATAAATGAATATATTTGGTCTGAATATAAAAATATACAATTATAAAGGTTGATTCAAACACATCAGTCACATCTCGTCACATTCCCGGCGCCGAACCGAACAATCCATCATACAAAATATTCTTAATAGAAATATGCCGCCGGCATTCACATTCATCAGTTGACGAACAGTTTCCCAGCTGTCAGATAATTAATAGTTCTGTGACCAAACAGGACCGGTGACGGGACTGATGTGTTTGAATCAATGACGTTTACGTCATTGGTTTGAATCGAGCATCGAGCAAAAAGATAAAAGAGGGAATCTAATCGTTATGAAAAGGAGACGAAATAAGTCAATGACGTATAATATATAGACTACGCAGTCCCCTATTCTCGCTATAGAATCGAGTGTCCGAAAGATCTCGGCTCAAGGTTGAAGGTATGTTTATCACAACAGCGACGTGCTCATTTATATGTTAATGACAATATATATTTTTTAATTAAAATTAAATATTTATGATTTCTATTTGTTCCCGTCTATAAGAGAAATAATTATTTTGATAAAATAGTATGGCATTTTACTAAAATAGTAAGTAAATAACTTCAACAATTTAAAATAAAATTTGCTTGTCACCCGCAATGGAGAAAATGTTTTCGTACGTCCATGATGTTTTCAAACACAAGATCAACTTCGTGATGCTTCGTAAGAAATCATCAACTTCCTGCATCTTCGTATCAAAACAATAAACTATAACAAAGGTATTCATGTTTTGGACACTTTTTAAAGCGTTCACCGAGTCTATATATTATACGTCATTGAAATAAGTGGCCTCTGATGGCGGACATATCCGGAAATGCAAAGGCGCTAAATTGAAATTTTCCAACACTTGTTAACAATAGCTGTAAAATATTTTTCAGACAAGAAAGTTTTAATTAAATATTAACGATAATAGTCTAAAAAGTGACACAATTGGTAAAAAACTTCAATATAAATAAAATTTCATGTGACAGTTGGGACAAACAATAACATAACCAAACTAAACTTGACTTCTTAAACAAGGAAAGAGACTGTGTTTAAAGTGGCCTCTCAAAGCACTTCCTGTCTAACAATATTTTTGTCCCCACTACCTTTACATTCCCTCTTTTATCTTTTTGCTCGATGGAATCGACACAGACACAGAATATATATTTGTTGACGTTGTCAGCAAGTGACGGTTGTTTGAAAGTTTAGTTCTTGTTGACCGTTAAAAAAAATAATTGAATTTTACAAAGTGAAAAGCATTATATTTATGAAATATGGCTGAAAGTTTTGATTTTATTAATGCACCACAATTTATAGATTTTAGTAAAGAGATGGAGAGTTCTCGAGGCGCTTATGATTCATATTTGGGTAAAAAATATCTTCTTTTATCATCATGTCAAGTAGAAATCTTGTACTATTAATTGAAATATATGCTACTAAGGACTGTATAAAAAAATATCAAATTTCTTTGTTTAAAAGAACGATACTAAATTGTTTGTAAATAGCAGACTTTGCATGTTTAATATAATTTTTAATTACTAGCTAATTAATACAAATTATATACCTACATTATATTAAGTTTCTTATCTGGTATCTAATATTCCATACCACTTTTAATTATTATTAGTCACTTCATTAAGTAGTGTTAATTAAGTTTTTACATAGTTTATTTTATTATTATTTAATCTTTGTATACATTTGCAATGTTTTCATTTATTTTAAAATAGACAATATTTCTAAGGTAGGAGATAGGCGTTTTCTCTATTTCACTATTTATTCTATCATGAATTCAATTTCTATTGTCTTATCTTGTTGTACTTATTGTGGTCTTCCAAATATTTTTTCTCTTATACTTAATTTAGTTTACTATTTTGTTTTGTGACGTTTCATAATATAAATGTTTGTGTTGCTTAATTCAGGGACAAATTAAACTAACTTGCTACAAATGTAAAGTATTAGAAAATCATACATTATGCCTTTGTTTTTACTTCTAGATCAATATCAGGATCCTCTCAACAATTCAGATATTTTAAGTGAAATGACACTCATTGCTGGTAAGTAAAAAATAAAATAATATTAATGAAATTAACCTACACAATTTTGGTATCACATATACCTATCTTCATTATGTTTTATCAGAATTGGTATTACAACCAAAGAATATAGACGCTTAAGCGTCTATATTCTTTGTTACAACTAATAAGTTTCATACCCACTTGCTGAGAAACAGTAAACTCATATCAAAATAATACATTTACAACAGAGTTTTATGAATGTATGTTAGAAAAAAAGTACTACTTTATTTGTTTACATTACCATCCTGTTACAAGTGTAGATCATATTACTGCCTCAGAAATAAATATCAGCATAGATATTTTTGTCCATTGCCATTCATAAAGTTTTTTTTTTTTTTTTATTGACATTGACATTAGTCATTCAGCCAGTTGCAATAGATTCTCCAATCAGACAAATGCTTAACTCTATCCCTAATTGAAAACTAATGGATAATTAATTAATAGAAGAATATATGACAAGGAAACTTACAGGGTCACTTGCTTCTCGTCTAGGGGCCCATCAAGACATTCTTAGTAGACAAACAAAACTGGACCACAGATAAGGTGTTATAACATTTAGGGTAAACAAAGGATACAAATCTAAATTTCCACACGATCATGAAAAATTTCAAGCTCGAGTACAAATTCTATAGAACCATGCATGTGTCTGACAAGAAATCTATAATGATATTATATATATTTTGTGAGCCTGTCGCCAGTAGCGACTGAATATTGAATGGTGCATACATATTAAATTCGATTAATTTTTTGTAGATAGAGTTTGAATGCTGTTGAAACTTAGGGCATTCAAAAAAGATGTGATCAAGATCACCCAGTTTTCCGCAATGTTTGCAATTGTCATCTTCAATCACATTTATTTTATATAAATGACTTGGATAACATGCATGTCCAAAGCGTAGTCTATTTATGGTGGTTATATATTTACGTGGAGATTTAAAAATTCTTAAACCAAGTAGTTTGTGGAATAACTGGTTGTAAAGTGGTGTATCTTGTTTGGTTTGTAAGGCAGTAAAGATTCCATTGATCTTTCCATGTCGCTATTCTTTGTTTCACGTTAAGAAAATAACATTGCGCTTATGGAGATCAGTGTTGCCAAAACTCTCAGACACTCTCTTTTGCACGGATGTCCAAGATATTCCCTTTGCTTAATTTTTGAATTTTCATTTTCAATTAATATTTAACTGTAAAGTCAGAATAACTACTAAATAAAAGCCTTATTATCATTATGTAGTCAGAGACGACATAAAATAGCTGACATACGCACATCGTATTATTTTAAGTTGCAATTAGTAATTAGATATACGCATTCCAAGCGGTCAATATTTTCTACTGATTTATATGATTCATGGCATATCGTATTCTCACCGAAAAACAAATAAACTGTCGTTACCATAATTAAAATAAGATAAAATAAAATTATCTTTTGTAAATACTATTTATCTAATTAAAATCATTTTCCCTACTTTTCATCTCTTGTTTCGAATGGGCACTTTTGGTCAATTACGTTAAAAAACATTAATTTAATTCATGTTTGTGGAAACGAAAATACAAATTATACAAACCTAAATTGTGCTTGTGTGTGTCGTGGCAACGCCGCGTTGCTATCGTCCATAAGAAATACATGGCCCTATCTTCGCAATGTTATTTTCTAAACGTGGAACGTAGTATAGCTGGTTTTTTTTTAATATCCTAATGGCATCTGATACACATAAAGAATATGGCAATAAAGTGCCTGATATTATACTGGTTTTAGCTAAGTAATCTACATATTCATTATCTTTGAGTCCAATATGTGCCTTAACCCAAATAAATTTTATACTAAAGCCAGAGTCTACTAAGTGCTTTAATTGATCTTTTATTAGAAAAATATAAGGATTACTAAATGTTTTGGGCAAAAAAGTGTTTTTTATGTTCTGTAGAACTGAAAGGCAGTCTGAAAGAATTAACGATTTTTTAATATAAGAGTTTTTAACATATTTCAAAGCTTCTAGTATAGCCAATGATTCCGCCGAGAAAATTGAGAACTCCTTGGAAAGTTTGTACTTAAATTCAGAACCTCCTGAGGGTAGAAAATAGGCACAGCCAGTTCCTTCTATTGATTTGGATGCGTCCGTGTATATAACTGTGGCAGCACTATAACAGTTCAAAACAGATCTCAGAATATTGTTGCTCAATTTGTTGTTGTGACTATATGTGGGTATTATAACTTCAGCTTTATGGAAGAGAGCAAAGAAGTCTAAATTTTTTTCCACTTTGGCCAAATTTTTTGAACAAATTGAATTGTTCTGTAAAGCAGTGCACAAAGGTGGAGACAGCTTCTTAATAAAATATTTATGAGTGAGATCTGATTCGTTAAGTTGACATATACTGGAAAATAATTTGGGATATGTTGAGTGGGCTTTGAGTACCCATTTTTCACTTAATAAATTTCTTCTAATCGAAAGAGGAGGTTCATAAGCTTCAACATGTAGTGGTTGTATAGGGGTAGATCTCATAGCACCTAAACAGACCCTTAAGACAGAATTTTGAAAAATGTCAATTTTTCTCAGAAGATTTCTAGATGCAGAACAGTAAAGAGTAGCACCATAATCTATAATGGATCGTATATAAGCTCTGTAAAACAATAAGGATGTTTCAACATCGCAACCCCACCACACTTTGGTTGTCATTCTAAGAAAATTACTACCTTTGTTGCATCTATCCAGCATATATTGTATGTGTTGTTTCCAAGTCAATTTTTTATCCAGTATAAGGCCCAGATATTTGATATAGATTTTGAATGTAAAAGATTGATTATCAAGAAGTATATTTTGATTTGGATGAAGGTTGTGTCTTGTGAAGACAGATACTGCTGATTTGTCAATTGATAAATTTAAGCCGTTCTCTAAGTACCATGGGAAAAGAGAACTACATACTCTACCTACGTTTTGCATACCGTTTTCATATTTCTTACTTTCTGTATAGATACAAAAGTCATCTGCATATTGTATTATTTTAAATGGGATGTTGTTTATTTGCATATTATGTATGTCAGACGTGTACATATTAAATAAAATTGGCGATAATACCGAGCCTTGTGGTATGCCGTGATAGTTGTGTCTAGGTCCTATTAGCTTGTTATTATGGTCTCTGACGTAGATTACCCTGTCTGTATAGAAACCGATAATTGTGTTAACGAAAGCAATTGGCAAATGAAAGAAATTTACCATTTTGAATTTCAATATTGACAAACAAACTGATTCATATGCTCCTTCAATATCCAAGAATAGGGCTGCTAAATAGTTATTCCTAGTTAAGTTGTTCTGTACATCAACAACAAGTGTTGTTAAAGCGTCTTGAGTTCCAAACCTCTTTTGTAGCCAAACTGGTTTACTGGTAATAAATTCTCTTTTTGTATAATCTAATCTAAATTTTATAAGCCTTTCTAGGGTTTTGAATACGCACGAGAGTAAGGATATTGGTCTATATGAACTCACAATATTTGGATCCTTTCCGGGTTTAAGGACTAGGAACGACTAAGATATTTTTGAAGGACTCGATAACTATGTTATTTTGGATGATATCATTGAAGATATGTAAAAGATGGTTTTTTGCAACCGTTGGTAGGTTGATTAACATGGGGTATTTTACATGATCGATTCCAGGAGAAGTATTAATGTGGTTTTTAAGGGCGAAGTCTAGTTCAGTTTTAGTAAAAGGTTTTAATAGAAAGTGATTATTTGAATGATGACTTTGTGTAGGCTGTGTAGGCGAATGTTGAACCCATGGAGGAGATACTCTATTAAAGAAGTCTTCTAATAAAGTATCATTGAAGGGTTTTGTACTATTATGTGATTTTTGGTTCATTTTGTTTGCTTGAGACCATATTTCTTTAGAAGAAGTATTTTTGCTTAAATTAGAACACCATTTAATCCAACTAGCTTTGGCTTTTTGTTTCAGCTGCTTTTTAGTATGAGCAGTAATTTTCTGACATTTTAGATAATTATCAAGGCTTGGTGAACGTTTATAAACTGCTAATGCTTCTTTTCTGTTATTAATTATCAGATCACATTCTGGGTCCCACCATGGCGGAGGGGATCGATTTTTGGATTTAAAAATTTTATATTGAGGAATAGATTTAATAGCAGCATGATTAATGCAATCTATTAGAAAGTTATAATTTTCATAAGTATTAAGATAGTTACTTTTATTAGAAAACATGTTTTCAATTAAAGATGTATACAGCGGCCAATTGGCCTTTTTGATGTTCCACTTGCTTTTTGGGTGAATTGTTTCCTGCGATGTGTAGGTTATTGAAAAATTCATAGTTAATGCAAAATGATTGGAGCCTAAGGTGTCAGATAAAACTGACCAGGTGATTTTACTAGCTATATTAGCTGTGCAAAGTGATATGTCAATCATCGATTTTTCGGTACCATATCTAGGAAGATAGGTAGCTTCACCATTATTTAAAATTACCAGATCTAGATCCTCGACACTACTAACAATTTGTTGACCAACTGCATCATTTTGTAATGAGCCCCATAGTGAATTATGAGCATTCATATCTCCTCCTATTATAAAAGGTGATTTGACTTGTGAGAAGATATTTATCCAATCATTTTTGGAAGTACGAATTTTAGGTGGTCTATATATAGATAGAAAACTTAATTATGTTGTATTAATTTTAACGGTAGCACCGCAGACTAAAATTTCATCGTTTGTGATGACACGTGGTCGGGTTTTTTATCAGAGACACTTTCAAGATTTGTGACTCACTAGTTTCAGATTCATTATCTGTATGTTCATCATCAGAAGTTGCAGGAATGTGAACTAAAAATTGTCTATTTCTTGCAATTTCTGACCCAGAATCTCTTAATTTAATCGAGTAGGTTTTATCTCTTAATTTATGTGTGATAAGAACTTCTCTCAATTTGCTTTTATCTTTAACATAAACTTTTTCATTAGTTTTAAGCGGTTTTAAATTTATTGTACCTCTA